CCCCCCCCCCCCCCCCCCCCCCCCCCCCCCCGATTTTTACGATGTTACATGCATATTTAGAATATCAAGGCATTTGAAGAGCCAAGCTTTTCAGGGAACATGTCTTAACTATGTTCTTCCACACTTGCATAATAAGAATGAGTAATGCTCACAAATTATTTTTCACCTCTTCCCAGAACTCAACCTTCTCTTTAAACCCTCATTTACATGACCTAAGGTTTAAAAATTAGCACAAAATAAGAGTACCTTGCCTAGCGCGTCTAATAAATGACTGTGTCGCGCTTACTTTGCGCTACTTTTAGACCATGGATATGTAAATGAAGATTTAAACCATGAGTTAAAATTAAACCTCTTGTGAATTTGGGCCTCTGGGGACAGGACAATTCAGTAGGCATGTTGACAAATCATCAAACATGTAGGGAACTTCCTTGGATCATACAAATATCTTGTTTTACCTGGGATAAAATCAATAGGATTGACTGGGACTGGAATACTTTTCTTGAAAGAAAAATTTGTTAAAACAGTTCTTTTTATGAAGGTTCCACTATAAGAACGAAAACTGGGAGGGTTTTTGAACAAGCTATGCACTTTTTTTGTGTGTGTGTGGTAAACACCTACATGTATTTTTATTTTCGAAATGTGAATATCAGCGTCTTTTCCTAAAATGGACCAATACCTCTGGGTAATAAATCCTCTTTCAATCCCTCGCATTGATAATACAAGCATATACGGACAGGTAGAGAACAAAAACTAGAAAGAACATTGATATTTGTTTGGCGAATTTCCGGCCCTGATTTTATTCCATATGCGACAGTGTTCTGATCATTCCCCCGTGGCTTTGTACAAAGTTAATCCTGGCCAGCCTGCTCAAACTGTGAATTCTGGGAACTCAAAGGTGACGTCCTTTCCGGTCAGTTTCTTGTATACGGCACCGTAGGTCTCCGTCTGAAAGGACAAACAAACAAAATACACAATAATTAAATTAGTTACAAGAATTAGGCGAGACGAGAGTATTGGTCATCTTTAGGCCGTAAGGCAGTTACTTGTTTGTTGCTCACAGTCGACAGCAATTAACCACTCCTTTCAACTTTTCTGCGTCAATTAAAAGCAGTGATAATCTTAAAGGCATCGTTTAACAATGTTAAATCTGAGATGCACGGCCCTACGTGTACTCAGTATCTGTGATATGGTGTAATATTGAAGCCCTAAAAGAATCGCGCTTCAAAATGATCAAGATGTCCCTCCAAAAAGTAAAAATCTTTTAGTGACCGGTTTACCATACTCGTTTCCCCAATAGACTGTAGAGTTATGAAAATCGTTAAGAAAACGCAAGATTTGGTTTTGATTTCCAATCATAAATATCTTGATAATCATGACAGGCGATCGGCTTGTAAAAGTCATGGGGTTCCTGACTGACCTTAAGGTTTATAATTATCATTGCAGCATGAGCTAAATCCAGGATTTGTTTCAGAATCTGAGACAAAGTTTCCAGATCCCTTTAATTCATGCACATGCAACGGCATATGAGAATTATTATTTAGAGCCTCTTTATCATTACTACATCAGGTAGCTGATCCAAAATACATTTTCTGCAGGTTTTCGTTCTTTGTTTGATTGAGAACAACCCATATACTACAGGATAAACAGACCTGCCAACCTCTGGAGTTCAAAAACTGTATTCTTTATTGTCAAAAGTTGTATTTTACTGACAAAAGTTGTATTCTTGAAAATAAACATGGATTGTTATGCGGATCAATGCCTCTTACAGTTTCTACCTACAGGAAGAATTTTTTTAATTGATCATTGGTTGAATATGCATTATTTTGTCACGACTGGTGTGTTCGATGAACCAATAAACATCCCCAAATTGCCGATGTGAGATGCTTGTAGGAACTTTACAGGACAGAATGGACATTTAGCCATTGAAAATGGCGGACGCACACCACAAATATTAATAAAATAAAAAATAAAATTTAAATTTAAATTTATTTATTTATTTATTTTTTTTTTTTTTAAATCATATTTTATTAAAGGTACTATGTCCCATTTGCAGGCCAAAAAAATGAAAAAGTTAAATTCCAACTGCATTTGAAAGATAATACTGATTTAGAACTTCCCTAAAAAAGGTAGGGCTTGAAAATGTCTTCAAGTGGGAAAATAATGACTATTAGTTGTCAAATCGACTTTAGGGCTATAGAGCCCAAAAGTAATAGTCTTGATTTTCAGACAATTGTCCCGAATGGTCATACGTTTTATGCTGCGCGAAGATTCAATCAGTTTAATCTTGGCCATTACAAGAAGTGGGTTATTGATGTAGACAAATGCTCATGTACCCTTCACAACTCTTTTCATGTATGTTATTACCAAAGAAGAAAAAAGGCCAGTCAGTCACTCAATAGTGTCTGACAGTGAAGTCTAGCAAGTATACGGGTTTCCTTGCATAATTTGAATATGAGGACACTGCTAACGTTCAAATTTCACAGATAGGACATACATGACATATTTTTATTCCTGCAAAGTTCTACAGAATTTGAGGTTGGCTGCAAAAGGGACATAGTACCTTTAAGGAAAATCGTACTGTCGTATTTGCTTCTAAAAATCGTACTGAATACGACTAACTCGTACTGATTGGCAGGTCTGGATAAACCATTCTGAATCAGAAGAGATGATTGATTTGACAAAATCAAGAAGTGAATGAAATGAAAAAATAACAGTACTGAAGTTTCAGAATGTCTTTTAGTGCAATTCAGAATCGTTTCAAGCTACTTTCCCTTGATTTTGTAAGAGCTCAGAACCGGCTTAAACTTATCTTCAGACTCAAGAAAATTTGCTGCCACAAATTGATTGTATTACAACTCTCACCACATCAAATTTTGCAATTTGTGAGGGGTTTCAAGACATAAACGTATATGGTTTTACAATACGGAGGGTTCGGTGACACAAAAACGTAACTCCATATTTTGCAAAAATGAGTATTTGATATCAAAATGTTCATCAAAATGTGGGCTTTCCAGGAAACACAAGGACTTAACTCCAAACAACACCCCACGGAAGTCAATGGCTAGTGAAACAGAGTTAACTCCTTAAGACCCAAGTGCTTAGTGACACATAAACCACTTTCCTCAAAATGGCCAAAATGGAGTTACGTCTTGTGTCACTGACCCCTCAATATGGGAATAGAGGATTCACCAACCTTGTGCTCAATCTGTGTCTTCTGTCCAACATCGAGATGAACCTTGATGTTCCTGCTGCCGTCCAGCTTGATGTGAGTACGCTTTCCCACGATCTCCGATGGGTAGACGAGGTCCTCCAGGATGTTGTCGTGGACCATGGTCAAGTTCGGCTGCGAGGGCGCTTCTGCTTGCTCTTGTTGCGAGACTTCCTCGTTGGCTTGGGCAAGATTCTCCTCTGTCGGGGTACAGATGAAGAAGGAAACGTTAGCATGCGAAAGAGTGGAGGTTAATCGTCTGTATTCCTAATACAATGCGTCAACATATCGGGTGCAAAAACGGACAGGGTGAAATTAATTTGCATTGCCTCATGGGAAAAAGTAGACATCACAAAGATGAATGTGGTGCACCCTATTGCAAATACAGAGAAATACCTTTTTGCTTTCAGACCACATTCAGTAATAATATTCAGGTGAAAAAAACGGTTTTTTAAATTTCTCTTCTGTTTGAAATAAGGCTGAGAAAACAAGATTCTACTGAATGGAAGTAATTCCCCTTTGAAACAAGTGTTGTGCTTGGTAGCCCCCAAATATATTTTAAAAAAATATTTACTTTTAAGATTTCAGTAAAGTCTATACATGAATTAAGCTTGCATCATTTGGTGAGTTACTTTGCAAGTCCAAGGCTACCGCACTGTCTTTATTTTTCCTATTTGATGCAGTATCAAGAATGTGTTCACCATTCATGTTTTACCTGAGCGATGAAGAGCACGTGCTTGCCGCTGAACTTCTTCTCAAGCTCTCGGACTAGCCTGACCTGGATCTTCTGGAAAGCTTTGAGTTGAGGTACGGGAACCATGACG